TTTATCATTGCTCCCTACGCCCATACACAATGTAACGCTGACTCCATGAACGAGCTTATTCGTTAAGACCAATACGGACCCTATAGCACTGGTTAGTGATTTGAACGCTCATGTGGGGAAAATTGTCAACTGATGATGATGATGTGGAAAATTGGTATCCCACACGGTATAGGCTCCCGTAGTGATAACGGTGAGCAGTTGTAACACCTGTGCAAAGATGCTCGTCTAACTCGACGGATAACATAGTTCCGAAGCAGCATCCGCAGAAAAGTGACAAAGCCTACGAACCTCGGACCAGTCGTGGACGCAAATCGATCATATTGCGATCAGTTAACGTCGGAGATGCTCTGTCTAAGACTGCCGCTCATTTCGGAGCACAATCGTGGACTCCGACCATGCACTTGTATGCGCTGATATGCGGGTGGGTTTCGGTGGACGCACACGATGACGCTGTGAGCGCATAGACACACGTCAGCCAGTTCTGTAGCAAAATACGTTGGTATCCGGACTGTGTACCTGCCTACTACACAGTTGAAGACCCCTGGTCGCATGTTCGACAGACCTTATTAGCTGAAGGTATGTCTTCATGTGGTAAACCTAATTACCAGCATGGACACTGGGTTGCTACGCAGTCCCTGAAAATGATGGATGCTTGCCGACACATCCCGACTGGGAACAACCAGGAGAATCGTAAAAATTTTGAGAGCAAAACTGCGTGCTGATCTAAATAGAAAGCGAAGCCTGGTAGCTTCGTCGTGCGTCGGAGATGGAAACAGCCAATGCCATTGGTAATCATTTGAATTTATTCCGAACGATATGGCAAACAGGCAGTAGGAGAGCTGGCGTTAAGGAGACTGAGACAAATGGACAACCTATCCACAACCTGTCGAAACGCTTGCAGCGTCGGCTTGAGCACGCTGAAAATCAATTTACTCGTCCGAATACTAGATTCCCTCGAGTCCCCTGATACCAAAGGCTGTACCTTTGGATTCATCCGACCAATCAAACGTCTGCAGTTAGATCGGACTGATTTGGTTGCATAAAGCTGACAGACCAAGTGATTTTCTCCTAGCCCTCTTTGAATTCAGGGGACCTGCTCTTATGGACGAAACTGTGGGAGCAGCAAACTGTTCCAACCGATTGTAGTAGCTCCGTTATTGTCACGATCACCGAGAGAGACTCACGCTCGGAACGGTGCAATCGTAGAGGAATCAGCCTGATATCCATCGTCCCTAAGTTACCTGCCCCGGCGTTCTTTACTGATGGACCAACCCGTGAAAGCCAGACTCCTGAAGAACAAGGCAGGTTTCGTCGAAATTAGGGCTGCATTGATCAGATCTTCACTTTAAGTGAAATGTTGGGGCATCACTATTTATATCGGAGACAGACTCGTCATGCATCTCGATATCAAAAGTGCCTCCGACTCGGCGAATCGGTGTGCTCTTTGTGATTGACTGCCCAGAAAACATGAGCCCAATAACTACGCAATAAGTATCAGAGTCTTACGTGCGGTTCGAGCAGAGTAAGAGCCTTTGGAAAGCCGTCACCACAGGCAGGGATATCTGCTGTCACCATTCCTTTTTAACTTCGCCATAGACCACATCATGGAAACTTCGTTCATTGGATTCGACTTGGAAGGCATGGAGCTGCTTCCAGGAGAGCGACTACTTGAGTTGGAATATACCGATGATATTGTTCTCATCTGTGACAGCTCACAAACGTAACAAACAGCACAGGACAAATTAACAATGAATGTCAGCCTTTTTAAACTGGGCTTTGCACCGTCCGTGCGTAAAGCTGTCCTCCGAGATTGGCAGGGATTGCCTCCTGTGTTGATTCTTAGTGCGGAGCAGCTAGGAGTGGCTCAGAAATTTAACTCCCTGGGCAGTTGTATCAGCACCTGTGGGAGCGAAGATTAGATTGTGAACCAGATAGCAAAGGTTCGAGGCGTATTTACCAATCTTTGCTACTTGTTGCGCCGGCATGATATCAATCTCGAAATGAAGGGCAGTCGGTTCAGCCCTACTATACGGTTGTGAAATCTGGCCTATCAGACCTAAATACATAAAGGGGCTAGCTACGTTCGACAATCGCTGCCTTTCCAATTTAGCTCATTTCTGGTGGGAACAACGCGTGTTCGGCGTCGCGCATTTGGTGCAGGAAAAGCGAGTGAATCGCTCAGTACCGTTACACCATGCGTCAAGCTACGATGGTTGGGGAACGTGTAACGCATGCCGGCACACAGACTCCCGCGACGTCCGTGGTGTTCGCGCCTGGGGTCTGGATGGAAGAAGGGAAGGCAAAACGATGACTTGTCCAAGGCGAATGAAATCTTTCACTTCGACGTAGGCCTCAGTTGATGCCTCTCAACTCACTGGTTGGGGTCCGAAAGGTGGTGAACAAGTTTGGTTGGATACACTTGTTGACATGGATACGTCGGCCCGTACCCAAGGAGCTTGTCTCGTAATCTTGCGACGCGGGTTTTCGAATCCGCGTAGGGATGGGCGTCCTCGCGGTATACTCAGCCCGCGTGTGAGTGGTAGTGATCATACGGCAGTGAAGCGCTGTTACGGCGTACAGCTGACATATATTAATAATATTATTATTACTTATTTTGGCCGGATACACGTGATGGCGTGATGATGGACAGACTACAATGGCGTCTGTGTTGTGAGTTTCTTTAGCCCGCCCATTGCCACTGAGCCTTCCCCTCTAAGCACGATTTCTTTGTTAAGGCCTAACATTTTTGTTTGGTCTTTCCTCATTCCTTCTTTTTCTACTGCCACCTGATTGAATTGTATTGCGGTAAAGCAAATTGGATGTGGCTGACTCAAAGCCAATGCGTAGAATAAATGGATAAATGATTGGGTAGACAGGTGGACGGAGCAGACCAGCTGAATTGCAAGTCAGAGCGCTCAGTTTAGTGGTTCATGAGCCTAAGTAAATTCGTGATTTATCAGACTCGCAAATAGCCTCACTGACGTCAGGACCTCGGTGGTCAGTAGTCCGAATGATTTGTAAGAGATTGCGAAAGTTTCCAGAACGGGCTATTGCCTCCACAAAGTTTCACGACAAGTACACAGGATTTGGTCGAGTTGCTAGTTGAGGTTGCGGCGTAACTAACTGCTGTTTGAATCAGGTGGGATAGTTCGGCGACGATCAAACAATTAATGTGTGAGACAGAAGGTCCAGTCATTTATAGGGTTTCAATTAATTCCATAGATTGAGTGGCCAGAAGAGATTATCGCTTTCCTACAAGAAACACTAATGATTCATTGATGAACGCGTCTAATAAGACAGAGTGACAACGGCGGGTTGCATCATCACGGTTTGAATAGAAATCCGACACAATGGACATAGTGCGTTGGGGACCAAGTGCAGCATTGTTAAACGCAGTTAATAAGATAGCTTGATAACTCAATCGAACGTAGGGATTAGCTGGTATATTGCTATCCACTACACTTCAACTTGGTTTCGAGGGTCCCGCAGCGCTCATACAAATGTCTGCACAGACGACAGCGCGACCTGAGTCGAGGCAGGTAGACCAAATTTCCCTGCCGGCTGCAACCGATCACAAGGTAGTTCGTGTGTGGCCACTTTTGTGTCAGCGAAGTGACGCCAAGTAGCGGAAAAGTCTCATATGCCTAGACTTTGTTCGTACCAAAAAGAGAGGACTGTCTTCACATATCGTGCGAAATCGGTCTCGGTTGTCAGTGTGGTCTTCATCAGCAGCGTAAGAGTCACTCCATGGAAGCATGTAACTGACCCGTGCATTGAAGTCTCCAAAAAGGACCACAACGTCTGATCTTTCAGCTTAACTAAAATGCCGGTGGAGTCCGTGATAATAGTCATCTTCAATAGACACACAGCTGTAGTCGGTTGGAGCGTGAGCAAAGTTCTGAGACAAGCTGCGTCCTTCTTTCCTCTGTGTCTGTTGATTTTGCATGAACCCTGAAACCGAATTGCATACGGTCGGATGTCAGTCGGGAACTAATCGAACAGCGCGGCGTAATTTATTACTTACTGCTATGCTAACAACAGCCAAACCGGCATCAGACACTTCTGTGTCACCGGACAGACCAGGAAATATTTGGTTCCGAAATCAGCAAATGTCAACTTAACAACGGTGATGAAGTCCTGTAACCGAGGCTCAGAAGGGCAACAAACATAAGCAGTGAGGGTCTTCAGATTGTGCGCTAGGCTGACCTGCTGCCTAATTTGCATGTCAGCATCGAGATGCGCCGGTAAGCTACGTTTTGCACTAACGCGCTGGTGATGTCACGTCGGCTGATGACTAAACGTTTGCAACAAAACTCTCAAGCTCAGAGAACAGTTCATCTAACAAACGAACACCCTGGGCTACCTACAGTTACTTCTATATATCAAAGCATCATTTCCCGCACGAAAAGCGATGTTGCTCCATGGCTCGTGGTGGATCGAAGGTCAGCCGTCGGTGTAGATTGAAAGCTTAGCAGGAGTGAGTGGCCAATTGGCATAGGGGCTTCTCGAAGCACACGCAAAAGTTGTACAGACCAGCGCGTGATCTGAATCAAGAAAAGCGGACCATAGTGATCTGCAGTTTCGAACAAGAGATTAATGTACAACTATTGTCAGTTCAACAACAGCAGGTGAGTGTAGCATTATGTGGGCAAAAAGGCATCCGTAGTACCCCGTTACGTCGCACCGACCCTCTATCGCTACCCAACCATCACCGATCGCGAATGGGCTATGAACACTACGACGTCGCCGCACCTACGAAGAGTTAGGTGAACACACTGACCTGGGGTAGGTATTCAGGACCAGCTATGCTAGGGAATATTCCTATGGTTGTCAACCTGTGTCAAAATAGTACACCTGGATACGCCACGGCATGAGACGGATCACTCAAAAGTCCCATATGCGGAGTGGAACATATCACTGTCCCATGGTTAAATTGGAAGTGACTCCGGAATGATGTGCGCACAAACACAACAGTAAAAATAGTATGGTACCCGACTTACTCGCAAGCGTCCTGACAGCTGCGCTTGCACCTCAGCGATTTGTTGACGCAAATTGTCTGCAGCGGCTTCGCGAGCTTTCAATCTCGAGATGAGCAACTGAACATCGTCGATGATTTGATCAAAAGTGAACTTCATGGTGCGTAATAAAAAGGGTCCAATCCGAGGTAAGAGCGAACGAGCTAGCAAGGCTAGCGGCCTATGAAATGACACACGATAACTTGAAAACGAGAACAGATGTAAAATATGCTGATCAGTAAGGAGTGATTTCGGAGACATGGCAATGAAAACAGACAATACTTAAACGCTAGATCTAATGCGGTCAAACAGACCGAAAAACAGCATAGTCATCGACCTGTATTTGAGAAAATCACATATTGTGATCGATCGCCATGGTAGCAAGTAGGATAGAAGATCTGTCTTATTTGAATCAGCGGCTATTCACGCGTGGCAGGAGCAAGTAGGACCCTGTGGTTAGGGATCGTACCCATACATCAAGCGCAAAAGGATTCAATGGTATACACATGACTCTGGTAAGACGTAACGAACATCACTATTTTGAACTAGATCGGGTAACCGTGTATCACCTAAGGCTGACATCATACGGTGATTGTCGCAAGAGTTAATTTGTAACCCGGCAATCTCGAATTGCACCTAAGGATGATGGAAGCTGAGACTGCCAGGCAAGATACAAACGATCAATCAACAAGCAGACACAATATACAGCATTATCGGTTCGGTAAAATGCCTTGTTTACAAAAGGACCAAATAGAGAGGTATGGAGGGATAACGAGAGATGCCGAGGTTCAGACATGGCCAAGAAAAACACTTGTGACAAGAAAAAGCGTGCGTGTAATTTACACAATTGTACAGCAGAAAGAGAAAATAGTGGTTTAAAGGATGGCGAACTGTTGGTACAAGATTTGTCGAACGTCAAAGTATGTTCGTGACAACAGGCCTTCTAGAAGCAATTTCCCGGCCTCGGAGCGCTTGATGGCGACACAGTTATCCACAACAAGGACGCCGCTAACAAACTCCGCCACCAGGCCTTGCGCAAGGAGAAGCTGTTTCAGCTGAAACATAAAGATATATCATTCAACAAACATGTAAAGACCGTCCAGATGGTGAACAATGAAACTTGGCGTAGGCATATAGATTGCCTACCCAGAATCGCACGTGGAAGAGTGAGAAAGAAATGGTTGCCAAATAGCAGTATGTATGGAGTGGAAAAAAAACTATCTGGCACACTTTTAACAACAGACTCCATCCCGATGGTGAGAAACAAAGGAAGGACAATTGGGAAGAATGTTAGCCGTCGCTCACCTCAAAAGCAGCTTTAGTGTTAACGGTTTCGCAAATTAGATTCATATGTACATTACCAAATTTCGCGTGGTTTTTGTCATTCTCTGTCACCACTGAGGCCGACATGACCCTGAAAGACTAACACTAACGTGCACGTAGTCCGACTCAGTGACTACAGGGCTGACTCGTTCTTGCAAATGTGGTCTAAAGGCTAACGGATTTGCTTATCGGTACATCCGAAACATCGCCAGGATGCGATGAGAGCAACAGATCCGTACTGATAACGTCCCTTGGTGGATTATCAGGTAAGAGCAATTTCGCCGAACACTGAGCGGATGTTTCACTGCAACGCTGCGGAGACGTGGACACTTCTGACATTCCTGCCCGGAAACTAGCAAACCGTACGCCCAGTATGCGCACGCACTGGACGTGGCAGCAAGACCAAGGCTATGGGTGCCAATACGCCACTTTTGGTGCTGGCTGTGATGGAGTGTTCTGCATCTGACACAAACCACATAGCGTATCGGAGTGGTGTTTACAGGTAGAAATGCTCGGGATCTACACCGGAGAGGGTGCACACCGTTTCACACAAGATAGATAGGTAGGTGGCAAACTGCACCGAGCTCCAGAGACCAACATGGTAGTCAGTAAGACAAAGAATGTATTGAAAGATCACATTTCGGTTAGTACCCTGTCTATTGTATATTAATATTAAATAGGAAATACGATAGAGCATCAGGCAAATCTTGGGGTCACAGCAATCACGCCGGAGACGTCATTGGCGAGTGGCGCCAATGTGAACGACATCTGTAGTACGTGCGAAAAAAAACGACAAAGTGGTAAGTGTATAAATCTATCACTGACACCTATATTCGGGAAAAAAGGTATCGAGACAGCAGTGGACAATTAAGACGAGGCAGAAGAGTGAAAATACCCAGGTTAGCTTAAACCTCAAAATATCTGAGCAGTAACTTGGGAGTCACAAGCGTCAGCCGGTCGCTGATGCGCCATACATTCATTTTTCTGATTAGCATGAAGGCGCTTTAGCTGGTTGCGAAGTATAGCGGTAGTAACGTGACATGGTATACCAGTGGGATTCGCTAAAGCATTCCGGGTGCCTAAACTTTGCTTGGCCTGCATATGTTTCATGAAGCAGGAAGTTCGCTTTCCGTAAACAGTGAAGACGTGGTTCCGCGTACCTTAAGCGAATAGCAAGGCGAACAACCCACATAAACCGTTTGTGAGTACCGAGGATACTTCGAAGAGTCACAACACAATCAATCGAAATGGGGTTTATGCGAATATTCGACTGTAGTACGTTGGTTATCTATGTCAACTCTTTGAACCAGAATCGGACGATATGCTTGTGGAAACAATCAGGGTCATGTAATGTGGTCGCACTAGAACGAATGACCAGTTTACATGGTACAATGACCAGTGGGGGAGAATCAGTACTCCCCGATTTGGCCGCATCTGGCAAGCGCCGCGTTTGAATAGCCGAGTTGGTGTTTCATACTACTGCGCAGATAGGCCGACCGACAGACGAGATAAGTGCTACAACAAGATGATGGATGACATTGCTCCGAATACATCCGTCGAAGGATGAATGGTCAATAAAGCGAGAAACAACATTGCTAATTGTCCGAACACAAGTACCGTTTGGTGGAATCTGCGTAGATCGCTGTGTTGTAGAAGTTATAAAAGGTGCCACAGCCTCAGTGGAATATACGGCATGTGCAAGCAGAAAGCAATGTATGATCGTGCCAAACCACATCGCACACACGAAACGTTGCCTCATCGATGAAAAAGAGCCACGAAATCCACATGAGACACTTTCATTTGCGATGATACATCTCATGGTAATGCCACGCAAGGTTAAAATCACTTCTGGCCACTATCGAGCGGGGCAGTGCACAGGTCGATAGCGATCGGAAATTACCGAAGTTGAGTCAAAATGAAACTCCGGGTAAATGACATGCGGATGACAATCTCGTACGTGATAGATGCGTGAAAATCAACATGCCACGCAAGCTGGTTGTAACCGAGAAAAATCAACGTCCATTCGAGCAGTTCACATAATGCAGGACTTCCCTTCTGTCAGCACGGCAAAAGTGGCAGCTACTTCCTAGGTGCAAATGACCAAGATCTAGCTGGAAGTGGAAAAAAAACGAGTTACCAGTGCCAAAAAGCCATGTGAGGGCGCTTACGTCGGATAATTTTGGCTCGTTGACGAACACTGTTTTGTGTGACCCGATTGGACCAAGGGGAGGATTCAAAACTGGCAACTGATCAGTGACTACGGGAACGCGAACCTTTTCCGCTTCCGCTTCGTCTGCATATTCGGACATCTCTGCATCCTCGGATTGACCGTAATTGTCCACAGAAGCGAAAGTGGGCTTTGTGAACTGATCGTCTTCTAACGAAAGGGTGGCCTCCACCCAAGCCAACTCGTAATCACGAATCTTGGTGAACTTTAAGCTCGACACCAGACTGTCTTTCATACGGGCCTGGGAAGAAAAAGCGTAATAGACCGAATGGATGGAAGTCCGGACGAATGGGAAAAGGAAGAAAAAAACTCCAGGATCGATGACGTGGGACAAAGTTCACAAACTGCTAGAGCGTTTCTTGGCGCGTGGATGGTCAAAAGGGACACACTCCACAAAGACAATTAAAGGTGACATCTAGAGAATTAAAAAGTACGAAGGAGTAGTGTGTTCGGTTAGTTCAAGTGTGGCAAATTCTGCACGTCCCCGGTAACACAAGTTTTGAACCGTACAAGGGACACTTATAAGAGCAAAGTGGCGAACGTAAAATATGCATTCAAATTAGCAAGACGCGATGCCTAAGTGGTGGCCCATTTGACCGAAATCAAGGTAAGCGAGCCAGGAGGCATGAAATTCAGCTTACCTGGAATATATCGCCTTCCTTGGTGCAGTTGACTACGTCCCCATTGTTTGGAGTGTGAACCAATTCAGGGCTCAATAGCATCACAGATCGACAATAGGAGGCCAGCCGATCAATTGCAGAGTGGTTATTGCCAACTAGAATCATCTCTTGTGGTCTGAGCCCAATAACGATTCGTTTCATAGCCTCCCCGTCCGATCGACCCTAAGGAGAAAAATTGGAGATGAATGGGAGAAAGGCAACAGGTAAATAAATAAGCTGAAAGTGTGAACACATTAGAGGGTTCACGTGAAGCTTATTTTGTGAATTTAACTTTTTTGAAAATGAGAAACTACCGTGCAGCAGCAGAGGTAGCCAGGAGAGTGATGGTAATCGGAATCTGCCCACCGATGTAGTAGGAAGAGGATGCTGCATTCAGCAGGATGATCAAGAGCGGGAAAAGTAAAAGAAAAAAGAAATTGCCAAGGCAAACCCTCAAGCACAAATCCAACTGCAAGAACAAAGATGATGAAGCTGGCCGTAACCCAAACGATGGAGATAAAACTACCATATAAATAAGTAAATAAAATGTTCCCAGGATAGTTCTTCTGAAGTGGATCGAAATATCAGTAGGTAGAGCTTGTTGTTGGAGATCCTAATAGTGATGAAAGTCCAGTTCCATGCTGCTAGGTAGCCTCAGCAGAAGCCCGATTTAAAGCCCACTGAGGAGCAGTCAACCAATGAAAGCGCTTTCCAGATGAAGTTAACCTATGACAACATTCGAATTGGAACCAGCTAACGAGTATTTACCGGCATTTGCTGGTTTGCCGCACCACCTCCTCATGGTGCCAGCTGGATAGTTCGGGTTCACCCCCTTTAAGCGAAGTGTTCGGCGGCAGTGTTTCAACACTTGGTGGGTTTTCGCCTGACAAGCCACCTTCCTATAAAAAGCTACCAATGTCTGTATAACGACACTGCGACGTGGCGGATGTGACTCGCCACTAAATAAAGTCACTGCCCCTTGCCTCACCTCGGTGAGGCGTTGTACTGCACCAAACGTGCCGATATCATGAAGAGAATAAGGCCTCTGTTTGGTAACCGACCATACAAAAGACGCATGAGCTGAGTATTCAATCACCGACTTCCAAAGGGGCGTGATTTCCTGGATTCGCCCCGCTGCCCTGTGAGCAGGATATATAGCCAAAGGCTAAGGATGGAGTCCTCTAAGAAAACTTCCTACTACGGCTTGAAAAACCGGGTAGTGTCACGCCCACTGACAAACACATGGGCTGCTCAACTGCAACATCGCTCTTAGCTGCTTTTGTTTCCGCTACTCGCATACCTTCACACGCCACCTTTTTATCCGTTAGCAGTTGATTCATGTTTACATGATTCCACTTCTGATGGCTTCGTCAACACCAACAGTGCTCGCCCAGTGGCCGTCCTTCGGCCTCGGTCCTAGTTCCGTCTGACATGCTGTAATGTACGTACACTCATGCAGATCGGGCAGCAGCTTTGTTTTGCGAGTACCTTGGGATCCCTGGCCATCGATGTTTGCTATCTTTTCGAAACGGGCTTGCAAGACCCCAGTAGTGTGATGGAGTTGAAATCTCTCACCAACCACGGAGCCATATTTCACCTACGTCTATCTGGTGACCCAGAAGCAGTTGCGGCAAGCTCGGTTGGCTTTGGAGTAGCGCTAAGCAGCAAGGCTGAGGCAGAACTGCTAGACTGGTTCTAGAATAATAGCCGAACATGTGCAGTTCGGTCTCTGGGATCGTGCAAGACCAACAGATGTCGCGAACAGAGAGGCAACTTGTTTATGATCGCAGCTTACCCTGCAACTGACTGCAGTTCCGCCTCTGTCAAGGACGGCTTTTAGCGTGAAGTTTACCAGCTTGCAAATCCGATGTTAGTGCCCTTGCTGGGGATCTCAACGCACGGGTTGGTCGTAAAGTATCATGTGAAAGTCATTCTCGGTGATCACCATGTGCTCGATGAAAGCCGCTCAGATAATGGGCAGAAACTTCCCACACTGTGTGTAGACAATCATCTGTTTCTTCTCAGCACCACCTTCCGGCATTCGAAAGACGTTCCGCTACTTAGCGACCCCCTTCTGTATCTCAATTATGGTCTCAGATTGGCCATATCGCAATCTGTTTCAAATGGCGGGGTAGTGTAAAACAGTGCAGATCAACCCGGTCCACATTTACGGACTTAAACCATGCTCTTGTCTGTGTGAAAATCTGCATGAGTTTCGGATGGTCCCCGGAAACGAAGCACTGTATGGTAGAGACGAATAAATTATCCATACCTTTGTTCAGCGGAGCCATCTATCTTCCCTGGCCGATGCACTCAGCTGCTACCCACCGCAAGACATTGACGAACACTGGACTTTTATGCAGAGGACCATGTCTTCCGGGAAGAGATACTCTGTAGTCTTACTCAGCACCCTATGAGGGCCTGGATCTCCACGCGCTCTTTAAATTTATTTGACCGTCTCAGAAATATCCATGCAGAGTCAAATCATAATGGAATGCGCCGTTCTGTCAGTCGGAAGCTCAAATAAAGCCTACACAGTGATCGTGAAGCTTGGTGCTCTCAGCATGCTTCGGAAATGGAGGTCACTGCCCTTTTTGGTGATGCTCGCAAGCTCTCCAGTTCATTCGATCCACTGGTCACAGAAAGGCTGGCGGATGGTTCTCCGATTACCAACCTACAGAGACACTTGGATCGATGGGCTGAACATTTTCATTCCCAGTTCAACTGGTCCTCACCGTCTACTTGTATGCCCTGCGAACTCACCTGACCGCCAGGGTAGTCACGCTTGATCTACTCAAGGAAGCGGAAGTTTGCCTTACGATTCGGCAATTGAAATGATTCAAGGTTGCCGACTCAGAGGGACTTCCTCCGGAGCCGTACAAATATGGTGGCGCAGTTATCACCAGTCAGCTAATGCCGATGCTCTTCGAAAGCTGGCATGAAGAAAAGGCACCTTCTTCCTGCGGCGAAACATTGTCCTGATTTTTAAGAAGGATGCTCGCACTTTATGCCGTAATCACCGGGGGGATTAGTCTTATTTTTGTTGCCTCAAAGCTACCGGAATAAATGCTACTTCGTACTCTATCGTCGGTTCGTGAATCACGATATCGGGAAGAACCATTTGGCTTCCGTCCTGGCCGTGGGTGAGTAGACCAAATATGCACTCTCCACTAAATCCTCGAAAACAGCCACCACTACCAGAGGCTTATCTTCGTTGCATTCTTAGACATCTGTGCCGCATTCGACTCAGTTGATCGACTTATGCTATGGTGTTGTTTGTTAAGGAAAGCGGTCCCAAAAAAGCACACAACCATCCTGCGCGCATCTACCTCCACATCTCTGGCAAGGTGAGCGTCTATGGCAGGCTTTCTTCATGCTTCGCTGTCAATAGCGGTGTACGACAGAACTGCCCTATGTTTCGGTTCCCCTTCAATTTTACGATTGAAGACGTCCTGTTGAGAGATCTGGAGGGTTTCCAACTTCTTGGACTGCAACTACTACTGGGTAAACGAGAAACCGACTTAGATTATGCCGATCATATAGTCTCACTTGGTGACAACTCGCGAAATATGGAAGCCACTGCAAACCGTTTCGAGATTGAGGCATCTAAGTACGACATGTGGTTCGCCCCGTCGAAATGCAAAGTGTTGTTCCAGGGTTAGCACTCGTTCATTCCCATGCTCTCTTGAAGGCGCGCAGGTTGAACACGTTGACAGCTTTGTATATCTGGGCAGCTGCATGCCTGTTGGTGGCGCTATCAGTAAGGAAATTTCTCTCCGCATCCCCAAAGCCCAGTAAGCGTTTGTCAAAGTGCAACATTTGCGACGCCATCGAGATGTCTCCCTCTTGGTAAATTGTAGTGTGTTTACAACGCCACCGTTCGGGCCGTGTTGCTATATGGTAGTGTGTCATGGCCGGTTCGCGTAAATGACTTGCACCGGCTGTCGGCGTGCGATAATGGGCGCTTGAGGAAGATTGGTCGTGTGCAATGGCAACAATGTACCTGCAACCGTTGAATCCGACGTGCGGGTCTTAGAGAATGCGAGTATTCCCATCAACAAGCTAGTTTTGTTACATCAGGTAAGCGCTCCGTTGCGCTCTTTCTGTTCGTGGAAGACTTGGCTGGAAGAGACCACGTGGTGGTCAGCCGTCCACCTGGAGACAGCTTATGAAATCGTCGACTTCACGTCTTGCCGCCATCGAATTTACACGTCGGCCTGGTTGGGGATCTAAGGACGAAGTGTGCCGATGGCTGGAAACAATACAAGAAATGGCGCCCCATCGAAACCACTGGTGAGTCTGTGTATATAATTGTTTAGAATTGGATTCATACTGCTTACCAAGTGAAAAATACAAGAAGAAAAAGAAAAGAAAGAAAAAATTACAAACAGTGCTCCGCCGTTTTTTTCTTTTATTGCGGTACAATAGATGAGGTGAGTTGGTCCCCTTCAGTTATGTGCTATGATGAGGATGCGTGGATTAAATCTGTCTTCTACCGGTGAGTTGCATGGTGTTATTTGTCTCTATTCAATAGACCGCTGCTTATACAACAACAACAACAACGACTACTACTACTACCCGGTTGCGTAAAAAACGGGTGTATTTGATGCGCCGAAAAGGTATCCGCAGTACGCCAGCACGTCGCATCGCAGCCACTCGACCACCGGATATTCACGCGTGGCCTAAATGTCCTGCGAAGTTGTGCGCATTAATGCACATTCGGAGCGGTGAACTCTGAATTATTAGAGGCAGACGCCACACACCAAGCGCCCACCCGCAGACGATGTCGTAAGGTTGGTTAGGAGCTTTGCATATCGATGTTATGGGACGCAGATGCCCAACAAACCAACATGATGATAACGGTCATCGTAAGTAGACGCCACTAACTCGAACTGGCGACATGTAAAAAAGTAAGTAGAAAAAATACAATTCAAGGCAGATTCACGTGTTGAGAGGAAAAATCGGACAGATTAGAAATAGTGAAAATGAAAAAAAACGATGGGACGAGCACTGTCGTTGGCATAATACGTAAATACGCACTTCATAATCCAGAAACACAAGTTCGCAACGCAGCGGAATTTCCAACTGATGTGTGATCACATGTGTTTTTGCAGACGGATCATCTATTTGGTAGGCGTCTGAGACCAAACAATCCAGAATGGAAGGAGGCAGAAGGTTCACAGGAACCAAATCAGAATGAACGGATTGGTTGGCTTTGTGTCCTGTGAATATAAAATACATAAAGGTATGAACCATATGTACCAAGGCAAGTAGAAAGAAGTGATAGATAGTAAAGATATTTACCTTTTTGCTTTGGCTCCGAAAATTCACTTGATCCAAGTGTGTCCGCATCGACAAAGAGGTCACGATCCAAATGACCGCCGTATTCATCCCAGTGAACCTGTAGTGAGCAAAACAACACTGGTACTCTCATTTCGAGCGAGCTTTGATGATATAGTTTAGGTAGTAACTATGCGCAGCGGTGCGAGACATAATGTACGGCGATGCTGGTAGCAATAGTCAGATGCCTATGAGCGTTGTCCCAGTGATACCTAAAAGTGAGGCGGTATATGAAGACTTCGAGCATTTGAAAGCATCTAACGGTGATTAAGAACGTTACTGCTCGAGAATATTGTTCAGACCCTCACAGAGACACGCAGTTCGGCGATAAAGAAAAGTTATTTTGTCTCTGAAAACCGATTCAATGCCAGATCACTAGTCATGCAGAAATGTAAGACGGATACGAAGAAGTAGAGATGATACTAACGATCATAACCATAACAAACACCAGGAAGAACCTAGGCGTTCTCTGAGAACGGCGCGCATAGAAGGTAAGATAGAAGCCTCGGGTCTCAGGGGCCGATGATTTCAGAGCGATCAGTCGGTGCGTGTCTAAGGCACTGGAATAAATAAATGGCCATATTTACGGACAGGTAGGATACGGTCGTAGTTGGGGAACGATCATTTGTACAGGGTTACACAACGCAACTCTGGGTTATATAATGTTTACAGTTCATCACAATGTCGAAATGCGCTAGCATTCTCGGATAGGATGTCTAAGTACATGAACAGTGAGACTTATCTGCCTTTTATTAAGGCAATTTGAAGTAATGCACACTTTTGCGGATTGTGTAGCTCGTAGAACCGTATATAAATCATGTAGCTTACCATGTAAGCTACGAAAGTCGAGTGGTGAAATGTTGGAACAGTTTGCTCGAGACAATAGTCGGGCCACAATCGTCCGTTTAGTGCGTGATTCGAAGCAACATAAGGAGCAATTCAGCTGTAACATGCTATAAATGCGCAACAGTGAGTGACAGAATTTCCGCACATGTCTGACACAATCTCGATGGAACAAGACTGATGTGTAGTTACTTGCTCTCCATTTTAAGTATAAAGTATTACAACGCAGTTCGACCGGTCGAGTTTTTGTATGTAGGTGGAAACGGGACTTGTGAACTGAAAGCTTAAAAGTCCAAAAAATGCAGGAGGTAGGGGAATGATCCGATCGACTGACGTCAAAGGTCCCGGAAGTCACTCACCAGAAATGCAACCAGAGACAACATTGTTCTCCGGTTCCCAGTTAAATGGGTAGAGTACCTTAAACACCACTTCAACTGATCTCATTCCGTTTGACCGATCTGCATTCAAATGATGAAGATCGAACTATGGCTGACTGAATTCAACAAGTGATTCAGGAGTTGTTCGTGAATGCAGCCTCCAAAGGACAAGCATACCTCAGCCAATGTGCCAAAATAAAAAAATTGTTATATATGGACAGGACGAAGATAGAAATGAGTAAAATACACAAAATAAAAGACAGAACTTAAATTAGTGTAGTGTTTAGTATCATATTGTCCATCGGGTGTGGTACCACAGATTGAGGGGGAGCGAAAAAGAATCAGCACAAACGCCATACTGAATACTGTAGTATAGAGCAAGTAGAAATGGATTCTGTACAACTCTTTCGAAATATGGTAAAAAACGTTACAAAAATTGTCAGCCGTGAATATCGTTATGGTTCTCATGTAACAGTTAAAATATCTGACTCACGGTATTGCAGGACTCACAAATGTGACATGTCATCGTAAGTGTGCAATCGTTCTCTGAATCGAATAGTGGTAAAATTTAAAGTTAACAACGTTTTGAACTGCTGCACAGATGTTGCCTCCATCACATGTTCAGGCAAACTGTTCCAAATATTTACCACTCTCCGTTCGAAGCACAATGGGTGGGGAACTCGCTTCACATCCGGCATGACAAGTTGGTATCTGTGTCCGCGTGTGCTGCATGGCCCTCGTAAGTGCTGCATTGGCCTCAGCATGGGGAAGTCACCGAGACGTAGAATACGGTAGGTCAACCCGACGGTAGGAAAAGGTGTAGAGTCCTAGTTTCTCGCACCGGGTCTTCATACCCCAAGCCACGTAAACTCGGAATGAGCCTGGTAGCAACGTGTTGGACCAGTTCGATCTTTTGTGCCTCGCCTCGGGTAATCGGAAAGTTGGCGGGCAAACCGTACTCTAGCATTGGTCTAATGATGGAAGAGAAGATGCGAGTGGCAACCTCTTCAGACCATGTGCAGAAGCTACGTTTGAGCGCCCAAAGCATGCGCAGTCCGTTACGATATAGCCTGTTCGTGTTGTCCACGGACTTCAAATCGTAGCACGAGAGTACACCTAGGTCCTTCACGGAGGGTGTGAGATATAGCGGTTGGCCGTCAGCACCCTTCCCCAGGCTCATAAATACAGACTTTGCTGGGTTGACCGGGAGATGAACTTCTGCAGACCATGTGGATAGCCGGTTGAGGTCTTGTTGAAGTAGGCCACAGTAGTTGGGAGCGTCAACTCCTCTCCAAATTTTCATGTCGTCCACAAACAGCGCACACGGCGACCGGAGAAGCTGAGGTAGATGGTTGATGTGGATCAGGAACAGAGTGGGCCCCAGCATAGTGCCTTGAGGCACGCCATTTGTAGAGGGATACCAGTCAGTTAGATGGTCGTCGGCCTGTACCCTCCACTTTCGTCTAACAAGAAAGTCGCGGATCCACCGGTGCAGTGAGCCACCGACACCGCACATCCTGAGTTTGTGAAGGAGAACCTCATGGCTGACCTTGTCGAACGCTTTACTGAAATCGATGAATATCACGTTGACCGACTTCCCCTTGCTTATTGCCTTCAACCACTCATGCCTCGTCACAAGCAAGATTTTAATGAATAAGCGGCTTTGCATAAAACCGTGCTGTGCGGGCGTTAGGATCGCTTCTGACTGTAGCAACCGCAATAATCAATTTTTTACGATTTTCTCAGCAATCTTTGCCAAAATAGGTGTCAGACAAATTGGCCTGTAGTTGTCTACTTTGCTTGGGTCGCCGCCTTTCGGAATAGGCTTCACCACCGAACATTTCCAGTCAATCGGCAATGAACCTTTGAACAGCGACCTGTTGAAAAGGTCAATTACGACAGGAGAGATGATGACCGAAAGTGACTTAAAGATCAGTGGGTGAACCACATCAGGTCCGGCAGGTTTGGTGCCGTCAAGGCTGGCGAGTAGTTGGCATAATTCTTCAACGCCACAATCCAGACTGTCGAGTTCCGTAAAAGCGGTACACGTCGAACTCGGAACAGACACCTGATCATTTGCAAATACAGCAGCGAAGTGTTGGAGGTTAGGGGCTGTTCATCCGGGCTATCCAGCACTGGCACATCACCTACCGCATTCAGGTAAGCAAAGATTCTCTTCGGGGCGGTCTTCGCGACGATTGCGAGCTGCTCTTCGAAATGTCGGCGCTTATTCCTTTTGCACTGTTGCAGAGGTTCCGCTGACTTGTACACCCCTTGTAGTCATTGGCAGAGCCAGAGAGAAGGAATTTGTCCAACAGTCTGAGCCGCCTCCGAGCCAGATTTCCATACTCGGTCCAACCTTCCGACATTTCAATGGCACAAACTGGGAACACAAAGATGTCAATCTCGCTTTTATAAATGTCCAACAGTCCTCCACAGATGCAGCTTGTGACATAGACCAATCCAGTTGGCTCGCGGCTCGAGCCAGACCATCGAAGTCCGTTTTCCAGTAGTTGTAAACTGGTTCCAGCGGACGTGAATACGGCAAAGGTAATTCCATATGAACTATGAGCACAGTTGTTATTCTGCTGCACATTCCGGGTCGATTTTCCGTGTTCGTTTCCTTTCAAATTCTATTTTTGATTGTTTGATATCCACGGTATGACTGCGCTTGATGTATATGTTGAAAAGTGCCTACATGTCCAGTACTATTCACCTCGATTACTGATTCCAGAAGACTGTGAATCGTTGCTGGTGAGGAAGGGTTGCACGGTCCTTGTGGACGCGCTAGGGTCAAAGAATGGTTCCATCTAGTATGAAGCGGTCTACGGCCCATCCATCGCCTTGTGTACGTCCGGTATGAATGATTCTCCACATAGATAGACTGGAATGCTTCTGCTGTGTATGTTGAAGTGTGAGCCGGCTCCGTTGTTGAAACATGGCTCCCATTCACATGCCTCCCGGTCTTATTCCTTCGGGTTTACACTGGATATGGTGTGTGTGGTTGGAGCTGTGGGTGGTGCAGCGCAAGCCACCCATGGTCCCTGTGTAGGCGCAGGCGTCCTGTGGCTGTCCTATGGAGACCGTTCTGACAAATAGATCCGGAACCAGTTGAATCCAAGTATAACCTGTGCAGGATGCTTTGTGTGTGAGGCACGAGTGGTTGTATTGCCGCATGCTGTCCAGACGCTACAAGTTTTACTTGCCCGCTTTAGTTAATAGACTCATCAATCGGAGAGGAAATACGTCATCTTGCTTTTAATGTGGCGGTTGGCAAAACACAAGCTCGTTTATTCCATTTCGTTCAATGTATACAACTTCACCAAGAGGCTGTCAAAATTTGGAACTTACAGGGATACTTGTCAAATTAAAACTGAGTTATTCCCATCTATCTGGTGCTGTTACCATGTCAACTGCATTCAATATTCGCTGAGGGTAAGTAGCTACCGATAGGTGTTGCAGCTGCAGGATGTTTACAAAAGTACCGCTGGGTCTGTTTCCAAGGTGCAAAATGATTTCCTCATTCGGTTCGACATTTATTCTTGATCGTGTAAATGCACAAGTATAAAAATAGTCAGGTCACGATTTCACAAAATAAATTTCAGAAATCCTGGAACAATTTTTGGGCCTCCACGGAATAACTGTTTTTCGCATCATGCGTTAATTAAACGTGGGCATTATCTGCGCAGGAGGCTTGGATCTGATTCGGTGTACTCCATCAGTCAGTAATGTTCTAGTCGGTTCTGTTGACGCCGGACACTCTGCCAGTCGTCAAATGGGAGTTGGTGTATTATTCTAACTGATGCAACCACTGTGTCCGAAACCGCCCATTATCATCGACCAAGGATACATGCTTTCCGTTGTCAAGCGATTTTGTCCCTTGAACATATGCCATAGAATCCCACTAGTTTCCCAATAACTCATCCCACTGCAATTATCATTTTAACATATCCTATAGCTTCCCCTACCTCAAATGTCCCTTGAAGTTTATCTTATAATGGTCAATGCACTTGCGGGATGATCCATTGCTTTCTGTCAAACATATTCTCTTAAAAGACGCCCCTGTCTCCTTCAGGTTTGTATGCTTATATTTCACTGGATTTCATCTTGTATAGTAATTCCTCCTATTTATCCGACTACTATACTTACCTTCTAGTGCCCAGCGGATGTCAAAGTAGGTTGAATTTGAACGCACATGACAGTCAGATCGTGACTCATTTCCTTAACGCGGAGCAGGCGCTAATAAAACGACAACATTTGGACATCAGGTCTGCACTACTGCTATACTTCCTCAAACGCGCAAATAGCTACTTTGGTACTGGAACAGCCCGTTCTGAAATCTGAAAACAAACTACTCGTAAGTACCTTAATTTAAGCCCCGGAGAATATAGCGTTGTTCGGAGTCAGATGGGACTTATCATATAGTTCGATAGAAGTAACCTAGAGGAAGATTACTGGGTTAACAGAAAGGTCGAATGCAGGAAAAAGCTTTCCTTGACTGAATACAAGCCAAAAGTATTGTCACTGACAACTCCAACGAAAAGGTGCTCCTTAGTTGGATTCTGAGCAATGTGCCTCAAGCTGGGTTGCTCAGGGCTTCTGCTGTCATTG